TTATCAGAAGAGGTGTGAACTGGACCTTGCTTGGATTGCACCACCAGGATCATCATGGGGCCTGATATTCAGCACATATGAATGTTCACATGTGATCATCCAGTTCCTGTTCCAACAGATAAGAAACTGAAAGAGCAGTAAACTACTCTCTTTTTTTCTCCAGCTATTAAAATGGTGTTCTACATTTGAGTGATGTTTTGACATTTACAACAAGCTTTCATATACATCATCTCAACAACCCAGTGGAGGTTGGCAACTGAGGAATTACAGATGAACAACAGGGGGCGCAGTGACTTGCTTACGGTCTTGCACCATCATAAAATGATGGAATTTAGATTTCAAGACATTAGATTCTAAGCCTAAGCCTCCCAGCTACTTAGAATTACCTCAAATACACCTTCACATAATAGAAAGATAACAGTCAATATTGTTTCAGCTCTTACTGTGGGCCAGGTACCAAGCATTACAACAAGCCCATGAGGTCTGGGCCATTATTATCCCCACTTTACAGATGAGCAAACTGAGACCCAAATTGGTAAAATGACTTGCCCAAAGTCACCTGGCTAGTCAGTGGCCGAGCCAGAGTTCAAACTCAAGCAAGTAGCGCTCCAGAACACATGCTCTCAACCTCTTGGCCATATAGTTTCTTCAACAAGAGTAGAGCTCTAGCAGCGGTGCCTGGTGTACATGAGATGACTCAGAGCTACCCAGAACCCACCAGTTCAGTAAGGACTGAAGTGATATTAACAACACAAACAACAAAGGACAATCCGACGACAATGTTTCTTGTTCTGGAATTTGATCACACAAAGATTGTCTATAATAAGCCAGGGCTCAGATAACATCTTATTAAACTTTCCTGACAATTTTATTGTACCAATAATCATAACTCATTTTGACTTATTCTGAAAGACACTACTGCTGGCTTAGCCAACAGCTGTCCCTACCTTCCATCACAGACGGACACACACACACACACACACACACACTTCTCCACTGCTTCCATAACGCCAAAGCCCACCTCCTACTCTAGAGAGTGAAGAGCGTAGATACCAGAAGCACACATTCCTGGACTCTTTTGCAGGTAGGGCACGGGTATATGATCCAATCCCGCCCAACGAGGTCTGATAGGAAGACTGATAGGAGCCTCTAGGAAAGATTTTCCTCTGTGATAAAAAGAAATGCATGCAGAGGTATCACCTCTTATATGGTGGATATGTAGCGCCTGACTCACATCCACGACTACTGCCACTCTAAGCAACATAGCTGATATGCTGAGGATAACAGCATGGGAAGATGGAAAGCACGTGGGTCCATGCAGAACCACCAGGCAACCCTGTAGCTGCCCTACCTCTGGACTACTCATTAGGTAAGACAGTTAGTGTACTTATTATTTAATCCATTTTAAATTGGCTACTGTCTTACTTGCAGCCAAAAGCATCCTAACTCTCAAGTCTCAAAGGCAGCTACAGGGAAGAAAGAGCTCTGAATTTTTAGTCCAACGACCTGGGTTCTAATCTACTTACTTGCCAGGTGACCCAAATTGCTTAATCTCTCTAATCCTTATTTTCCACATCTATAAAACAGAGGTGACATTCCATAATACAATAACATCAATAAAATGGAGATAGGAAAATCATGAGATAATGTGTATCCAACCACTCTGTTAACAACAGTGTTTCACTCAAATGCAACTGGTCTACGTAGTAATTAAACCAGATTTATTAAATTGGAACTAGTCATCTAACCCAACTCCCTTATTTAACAAAAGAGGAAAAGAAACATTGACTCCAATGTCAAGTGACTCACTCAATGTCACAAAACTCGTTGGTAACATAATTAAACCATGCATCTCCTGATTCCCAATCTGATGTCATCATGCTACTCTCATGATGATAAGTAATGAGCTAGATTAGATACTGGGCACTCATCTGACCAGCAAGTGTTTGTCAAAGACAATTACAAGCCAGGTACTACTCTAGGTATTGGGGAATCCTTAATGAACACCACAAAATGTTCCTACCCTATGGATTTAACAGTCTACAAAGGAAAATTATTCAATCTACATTTACACATATGTATTGAATGCCGAATATGTATTAAGCAGTAGGCTAAGATTTCTGTTCAAACACAAATCAAAATTCCCAGCCAGTTCCAGTAATATCAACCATGTTTACGAGGCTTTGCTAAAGAATGTATAATGTGAAAAGTCTACATTTTACTCAATAAAAGTCAGTATTGAAAATGACAAGTCCATTTGAAGGAGCTGTGAATAACCATGCCAGCATCTGAAAAAAGTGGACAGAATGGGGAACACAGCTAGGACTCCACTCTACTTGAAGCAGCACGACTGAATAAAAGAGGTTAGAATTAACCCATGTCCTTCTACACTATCCAGACTTCAAGGGTTAGCTCAGTTGGAAAAGCCCAGTAGGGAGTATTCAGCCACTCTTTCCATTCCCCAGCCCTCCATCAGGTGCCCTACGCTCTCCTTTTGCTCCTTGTTCATGTGGAATTCCTCTTCCTCAGACTTAAGCATTCACACTCTAATGACCTGATGGGACAACATCCTAAACTCTGTGGAAAGAGACATATCAAGTGACTCTCGGCATCCTCTCTGAAAATGGATACCAGGCGGCTGAGACTGGGCCACTAGATTGTTTCTTTGAAAGTTTTCTCTGTCAATTATATAACTTGAAACAGAATAATTAAAAGCTGTTGTCTTGGGGGGGGGATTCCATAAGTCACATTCTGTGCAGGTTATGGAGGGAGGATGTGTGTGATACTGTATGACAGTCCATACACTTCTTTAGCTTTGTGATAGCCTGGAACAGAGGGAAAAGGCAAGCAAGGAAGGAAGAACAGGTGGTCCCCCAGGGCATGGACTGGTGACTCCAAAAGGTTCTTTTTTCCAAAATACCATTTTGTTCTAGCATTAAACAAATGGAAGGTTGTTTGTATCCTGGTTACCCTGTACCCAGAAGTACAATTTCACTTCCTGGGTTTGAAAAAGTCTTAAGAAGGTAAGGTCCAAAATTATCAATATAGGATCTTTTGATTCATCCTTATTGGTTAAATATTCATCACCATTTGGGGGCAGAAGGAGCAGAAAAAGATGTGCCACAAAATGAAACATCTGAGTTTCAAACAATTCCAAAAATCAACATTTTGGTATGTAGCATGTTAAGCTCTTTGGCATCAGTTGGGCTGTACAAACACTAACTTGCCAAACTATTATTAGACTGGCTACAATTTATTGTTTCCCAGGACACCAGACAACAAATACATGCCCTTTGGGGACTACTTATCTATTCTAAGGAAGACTAAGTCCCGAAAAGGATAAAACCCAGTGGTGTCAACTCCAATGGTGTCAACTCTTAAGTGGGACAGAACCGGGCACACAGAGGACTGACAGAGCAGAGGAGAATTCAACATCCCTAACTCTCTGCTGCTGGTCCCTCCATTATTTACATATTCAATATGGGTTAAAGGATCTGTACATCCACTTTAGGACCTAAGGCAAAGTGCACAAACAATTATCTCTGGATCACCAGACAGTACACGCCAAAGGGTTCTGTGCAACCCTGTGGCAGGAGGAAAAACTGCCTAACCTGCTAATCCCTTTATTATTAAGTTTAGCAGCACTGCTCCACTCAGAATGAAATTTCAAGATCCTCCAGAAAATTCACTGGGAGCCTACTCTCCTGGGAGATCATGGGGCACCACATTCCTGCCTTGAAACTTGTCCAAGGGTCTGCTTACGAATTAGTTGCCATTATCTCTGTGTCACAAACTTGCACCGACAAACAAACGGGAAAGACCTTTCATTCACTCATTCATTCATTCATTCATTTGGGGTTAACACAGCCCAGAGAACTATTCCTGCCGCTGAGAGACGCTGCCCCCATCCATCTCTCAACGGAACTGGATGGTGTGCTCTGTATTTAAAAAACAGCTCAGTCTTGGAGCCTCAAGACTCAGGTAGGCGAGAAGAGGAAATCCCAGAGATAAATAAGCAATAGATTTAAAAGTCAGAAGCTAATCGTGCTGAGCCCTGACACAATCTTTCCAGAGTGTGCGCACCTAATGGGTCAAAGGAGAGGGCACACATCTGCCTACATAAACGCGCACTGAAAGTGCGCGCGCGCGCGCGCACCACACACACACACAAACACACACACCCTTGCTGGCTCACGCTACATCTCCTGCAAGCTCAAAAGCACTTACTACCCGAGGATGAGGCTGCCAGGAAAGCTACCTTCGCCCAAAGAACTCTTGTTTTCTCCAACTTGAGCAAGAGCAATGTCCACCAATATTCCAAGGGGCGCTTCTTCCCGGAACCCAGGTCCTGCAAGGCTCCCTCCCTGCCGGCCTCACAGCCCTTTTCCTTTCTCTGAAACACACCGACTTCATGATTCCTTTTGGGGTAGCTCCAGTTCCGCGCAGCGCGCGCCCCATCCCTCAAGGCTGGAGCCCAGGTCTGCCCAGCCTCTCTCACTCCTGAGAAACTTCCCCGCCGCCCTACGCGGAATAAAGGCCATCGGTAGGAGGGCGGCAGGGAGGGAAAGCGGGTCTCTGGGGCTGAGGGCACCTTCGGAGCCCGGGCGCCAAGAGAGGAATGAGTGAACCCGAACTGGTGCATGCCTTCTACACGTGGAGGAAGGGAGCAAGGAAGAATGGGCTACATGCGGGCGTCCCTCTCGGCTCTCAGAGCTCCCACTTCCTGGCGGGGGAGGAGATCGAGGGGTTAGCCTCTCCCAGGAGGCAGCTGCCCCGCGCCCCCAGCCTAGGCGCAACGAGACGTGCGCGCAGCTTGCAAGCCTGGGAAGGGGCCCCGGCGCTGATAACGCGCCCCATCCCTGGGTAGGGCTCCCAGCCTCACAGGGCGGGGAAAGAGAAATCCGGCTTTTTAGCAGGCCCCCGGCATGGGTTCTCTCGCCCCTGCCCGCTCACGCCCACCCGCAGAGGCCCCCCGCGCCCTCGCCCGGGGCAGCCCGCACCTGGATGTGGCAGGAGATCTCCGAGTCGTCCAGCAGCCGGATGGTGCATTTCATCTCCTGGCTGAGCGATTTGATGCTGGAGCTCCGAAAGTGGATCATTTTCATGGTCCTCCTGCCTCTCCGCACACAGTGGCAAGAGGCGAACATGCACCGCGGCCCGGGGGAGCGAGCGGGAGGCTCGGGGCAGGCGTGGCGCTGGCCCGCGCGGACCGACACACTCGTGCACGCACTGTCCCGGACACCCGGGTGCGGCTCAGCCCCGGGACAGCGGCGGCGACGGGCGCCTGCGGCCACACATGCCGAGCGGCCGGGGCGCGGCGGGCGGGTCCCTCCCCTCCCCTCCCCTCCTCTCCCCTCCCCTCCCTTCCCTCGCCTCCGCCTCGCCTCCGCCTCGCCGGCTCCTTTCCCCGCCTCCGCCCGTCGCGCGCGCTCCTGCACCTCCCTCCGCCCGGGCTAGCGTGCAGAGGGTGCCCCGGGCCCGTGACCCTGGGCGGGCGCGCGACGCACTCACTCCCACGCGCGGGGAGCCGCGGCAGGAGGAGGCGGAGGGACGGCTGGCGCTGGTGGCCGGGGTGCCCTGGCGGCCGGGGTGCCCTGGCCGTGGCCTGCTTCACCGCCGCCGCCGCTGCGTCAGGCTGGGCCCGGCCGCCTCCTCCCTCTCTGGCTGCGATCGCTCCGGCTCCTGGTCACGCTCGTCCCTGCCCCGGCTCCCCCACGCGCCCGACAGCGCCCTGCTCTACTCGGCCCCAGGGACCTGGCTGAGGGTGGGGGGTGGAGGGCGAGCCCGACCTGCACCCGCAGGGAGGATCCCACCGCGGGAGAGGAATATTGGACCAAGGACGAACCCCCCTCCCCCCGAAAGTGACATGAGGGCCTGGTATGGCTACCCCAGGAATAGGGCTAATAGTAACAATCTCTAGTACTCATGGGTATTTTTTAAAGCCTTTATTTAATATTAACTGGTAGTCCATCTCCTTAAAAAAAAAAAAAAAACGGGGTGCCTGGCAGCTTCAGTCAGTAGAGCATATTACACTTGACTTCACTTGTGAGTTCGAGCCCCACCTTGGGGGTAAAAAAAAAAAAATTTTTTTTAATATCAGAGCCTTTCTTAAGCAATTTCTCATTTATAACTCCCAACATCTCAGTGTGATTTGTGGTAGTAGACCTCAGCAAGAGGGTCCCTATCTTGCACCTCCGCCCTTTAGGGACCTCACTCCTTTTCCCGCCCCCCCCACACACACACATAGAGATGTGTCCCGCCCTGTTTTAGACCAATCTCTGGATCCTGGGGACCCTGGAATTTCCTGCCAGCGCCAGGGTAGTGGGGATAGGGGATCTGCTGCCCCTCTGTCTTCCCCAGGGTGGATCAGACCCCGTTGTGGTGTACCCAGAGGCCACCACAAGGGGTGGCCAAGGGACGTCTGTGGAGGCAGGGGTGCGGGGGTTGGATGTGGGGGCCAGCATGTCCAGGAGCAGGAAGAGAAGGGCCTCTGGTCCTGCTGCCCTGAGCTGTTCAGCTTGTTCAAAGCAGTATTAAGGAATATTTGTTAGAGGAAGGACTTGGCCCAGTTGTCACCTCCTGCTGCAGCTGCACAGATCCCCCTCATCCAAAGGTACCCTGTCCAGAGCATGTTGGAGGGAAGCTATCTCACTGAACCTCCTACTCTGATGGGCTGGACGTGCCCTAGGACACCCCCTGGGGTTGGCTGTGACCTGGTGGTGCCTGCCTTGTACTTGGACTTGGCTCTCTGCCTGCTCTGGTTTCCTCCCCATGCTGATCGCTAACAAATACCCTACAGCCAAACTCAGTCTCAGTATCTGCTTCTGGAAATGCCAAATTATGACAATTTGTCAAGATAAGATTTTATTCAAGTCAATAGCTTTTTAAAAAAATTATTTTATTTATTTGACAGAGAGTGAGACAGCAAAAGAGCGTACACAAGCAGGGGGAGTGGGAGAGGGAGAAGCAGGCTCCCCGCTGAGCAGGGAGCCCAATCTGGGGCTAAATCCCGGGACCCTGGGATCATGAGCTGAGCCCAAGGCAGATGCTTAATGACTGAGCCACCCAGGTGTCACTTAACAGCCAATAGCTTGATTATTGCTTTTAAAAAAGTGATAATAGTATGTGGCCTTCCGTGTGTACTTTTGCCCTGGGTTGGTGAATATTAGGGCAGGGCCTACCAGGGAGGTCATCATGAAGGGTCTGGGAAGATGAGGATTTGATTCCTGGTCCAGCTCCCGGCCAACCCTGGGGACCTTGGGAAAGTCTTTTCATTTCTTTTCTAAAGTTCAAAGGAGAGCACATCTGCCTATCTCACAGTTGGCTGAGATGCTGGGCTGAGGCAAGGCCAATGGAGGGCAGGTTATAGTCTCTAAAGCCCCATATGCATGTATGAAGGGGCAGTGATGGGCCCCAAATGCTACTGGGATTGAATCATCTCTCCTAACCCAAAGAACAGATCTAAGATAGCCTAGAAATCAAAGAAAAGTCACCACCCAACACAGTCCAAGCTTTTCTTTTGAGGCTACCTACTTGTCCATCCTTATTATAATGACCTTTTGGCTTCAAAAGAGTCATGCTCAATACCCCAAAACTGTTATCTCAAATTTCAAGGAAGCAGAATGAGACCAGCAAGGACGGTAGGAAGGACAGAAGAAAGATCCCCCAAAGTGGGATTGCAAGCAACAGCATTTTGAGAAAATGAGAAGAATCGAGAAGAATCTGGGATTGGTTCTCTGACCAGATTTGGGATGAAGGCTGAGGTCAGCTAGTATAAGGGATGGGCTCTGGAAGCTTTTGGCAGATGTGTAAAACAACTAGGTAAGTTACCACGTATGTTCACTTGGATTGAAGAATCCACTGAAGACAAAGCTTTGGGAAACCAAGCAGCCATGTCCAAAAAATAATGTGAAGATCAAGAGGAATTCAAAGAATGAACTCAAGAAATGAGTTTAAAACTGGACCACTTAGGAGCATGTGACTGGCTCTTGATGCAACTCTAGATCTGGGGGCTGTAAGTTTGAGCCCCAGGTTGGGTGTAGAGATTACTTCAAAACAAAAAGTCCTGGGCCACTTAAAACAAAGGCACACTCAGAGTCCTAAACTGTCAGCTCAAGACTTTTAGAAATCTATATTTTCTATAGCCTAGCTAAACGAGTTTTTTTTTAATTAATTGAACTGCAATTGAAAACCAAACTCAAAGTCAATTGAATTAATCAGCCTCACCAGATTTCATGTGTAAGAGGTAATTATCATTGAGAAAAGCGTGGGAATCTGGGAATAGAAATGGGACCATGAAAGATGATCTGGATAATTCCTAGTAACTCAAACTCCCAAAACCCAGTTGGGAGCAGAAGCAAAGCTTCTCCCCTTACATAATGAGGCTGTTCCTGCCCTGTGTGAAGACCCTGTTCTGACTTCACCTGAGGCAGTTACCTTGGAAAGGGAAGCCAGTCTCATCCCCACCCCCGCCTCTAAATACTCTCACTCTTAATACTTGAATCAGATCCAGGCACACCGTAGGAGGCCAATTACAAAGTCACCCCCAGGAATAGAAAGAATTGCAAGGTGTTACTAATTTAAATTGAAAAGGCTGTGTGTGAATAAACCTAAACCTGTCAATGTAAGTGTACTTGACTCTGGTTTCAGAGTACTATCTAACTTAATTGACTGACTTGGACCCAGCTAAATGAAAATGAGGAGGAAATGTCCTGATTATTGTAAAGAAGAGAATCCAAAGCATCAAGGAGAAGGAAATACTGAAGTGGATTCCCATATGTGGCCAGCTCACCTTTCTTGTCACCTTGTCTCCAGAGGGGGGGCCCCCACCAAGGCTTTCAAAGAGTCACTGGCGGAGGAAGCAGCACCATCTTTGAAAAATACCACGGTGGTTAGTCCCTGTGACCAGATGCTGTGAAAGACACCACATTTGAAAGGAGCTCCCTGATTTTCATGGGGACCATGGGAGCCTAGATTTAGCAGAGGACAAATAATGGTCCTTAACCTTCAGTGCCCGGAACGACACGAGGACAGTCATGAGCAGTGGGACCCAAGTAGACTTCAGAGTGATGTGACCCACAGGTATTTGGCTAATAGCTGAGCATCCAACTAAGATCCTGTCTGGTCTGTAGGACAGACAAAATGTCTAGACCTAGTGAACAAAAGCCTGACTACCCCCCCCCCCACACACACACACAGAGAGACAAAATTCCCCAGTCTGGGCCTAGTCTCATAGACAACCAGAAACACTTGAGTAAAGAAAGGTGGATCTATCTGAAGAATAAGAACATTGGCCATAGCAGTGAAGAACTGGCAAGGTCTCATTCTTTTTTTTTTTTTAAGATTGATTGATTGATTGATTTGTCAGAGAGACAGAGCAAACACAAGCAGGAAGAGTGGCAGGCAGAGGGAGAAGCAGGCTCCCCACTGAACAAGGAGCCCGATGCAGGACTCGATCCCAGGACCCTGGGATCATGACCTGAGCCGAAGGCAGACGCTTAACTGACTGAGCCACCCAGGAGTCCCTGGCACAGTCTCATTCTTAATAAAGAAGTGGCAGTGGGAGAGATTGTAGTGTCTTAGGCTCAGTGGTTTTAGCTGCTGCTCCTTGTCAAAAAACTTCGCAACCCATGGGTCACAGCACTTTGGTGAGCCACAGACAGAAAGCAGGTGGTCTGCCATAAGAGATCCATGGTTGTAAATATTGTGCATTGATAGAAAAGACATCTTTAAGCATTTTTACAGCCATCAAAAATTGATAACTGAAAAAAGAAAGACCTAGGTATAACTCTAACAAAATATGTATGAGGTCTATCTGGGAAAACCAAAACTGAAGAGAGACATCAAAGAACTAAATAAATGGATTGATATTCCATGTTTGTGGCTGGGAAGACTCAACACTGTCAAGATGTCAATTCTTCTCAACTTGATCTATGGACTCAGTGCAAATTCAAATCAAAATCTCAGCAAGTCATTTTCTGGATATTCACAAACTTTTTCTAAAGTTTACATGGCAAGGCAAAAGACCCAAAATAGCCAACACAATAGTCAGAGGACTGATGCTACCCGACTTCAAGACAACATAAAGCTACAGTGATCAAGACAGTGTGGTATTGGGGAAAAAAAAATTAAAAAGACAAATAAATCAATGGAACAGAATGAAGAGCCCAGAAATAGACACACACAAATACAGTAAACTGATCTTTAAGAAACAAA